TAAGGGAGAGAATAGAGGAAAGGGGAGGGAAAGTGGATAATGTGAACTTTCAAGATGGGTTTTGCTTCGTTTTTGATGGTGCAATCAAATGGTAGTAATATGATGCGTTGTCGGTGAGGAAATATTATTTGCGGAGTAGTTCTCAACCTGTTACGTAAGCACCGATTGGGTCAACCGTAAGCTTTTTGATGACACGAAGGTCGGTACCGTTCATATCTTTCTTTTCGCGTCCTCTCATTCTTTTCACATCCATCAATTCAAATTCAATGATGAATTATTATTTTTCCTACACTAAGCAACCATGCTACACTTTCACTTCTTTTTCATTCTCCAATTAGATTTCATACTTTTGTTATTTTCCAAAAATTTTTATTTGAATTCTATTTAAATTTATTTGCATGCGTTTTTTCTCGAAAATTTATGTGCAAAATTTAAAATGAAATAACTTTATACATAATCAAAACGTGTCGAAGCATAAATTTGAGATTTTCGTCAAATAAATAACAAGTAAAGAAAAAAATCATTGATTACTGTCTTCTTTCTTCCATTTTTCAAATCTTAGCCGCATTTGCCTCATTTTTCAAACTAATTTCCAATTTTATTTTCTGTTACAAATCAATCGAATAATTTTATGAAATGATTTTCATTTAATAATATCATTTTTCACTTAAATTTGAGAAGATAAAACTTTTCAGTAATATGTTGAATTCAGCAAGCAATTTGCATCATCCATCGTGCGATATTTCGGATTTCAGGCAAGTAAAATATCCTTTCTCAAATTCTTCGAATTATTACAAATTAAAAAAAAAAAACCTTCGCTAACAAAAAAAAACCTTCGAAAAAATGCTAAATTTGTAAAAATTAAGAAATGAAAAAAAAAATCTCATTGCATTTCTAAATAATTTTTTAAAGCTGTAAAATTTAATGCTTCAATCTAATCCTTTGTTGCGATTTTCTCTTTTTTATTCATCGTGAATAAATTTTATAAAATTATTTTAAAATATTGGAAAATTTGGACTCATAATTCTAGTTTTTGAAGTTTTAAATCAAGTTGCAACAGAATTTCTTGCAAAATTTGAAACTAAAAAAAATTCCACTATTTATGAATTTCGTAATAATTTAATCGTTTCAGTAAGTCAGTAATCAGTGATAACAAAGACGAAGACGAAAAAAAAATGGATTTTATAGCAGTAAGTTTATTAATTGTAGTATTTTTTATTACTTCATAATATAATAAAATTAGCAGTAGATAATTTGATATAATTTGAAAATTTTTTTTAGCTTTAATTTTCTCCAATATCAAATTTCAATCAACTGAATCAATTAAATAAATTTTCAAGCATAACAACTAATCAATGCAAATTCTAACTCGAGAAATTAATTATTATCTTAAAAATTGACCATAAAAGGAGAATAAAAAGTAAATTTTCTTCTAACAACTAACTATTTGTACCATTAGGTATCGTATAATATCTGTGGTTTAGTGATAAGAAGGAAAAAATATTTAATCTATGATAAGGATGCTAAAAAAAAAAAAACATTTAATCTATGATAATGCTATAAACTAAATGGTACGAATAATACAGCATTTGATGACTTTTCGAAAATTCTTTAGAAATCATTATCATTTCCTAACTGTTAATTCATCCGATAAAATAATTGTTGGAATTTTTGTTCTCAAATAATTTGCAATTACTACAAGAAATTCTGTGAGACATTCGAATAAATCAAGTAAATATGTAAGTCACATAATACGTGATACACATCATAATCGAATATAATTATTTCATGGTTATAAACAAATTATGAATAGTTTTAAATAGTTGAAAATTAACAATGAATTTACTCAATTCATCAATTTTAATTGTTTGTTTAGTTTGAACGGAAAAAATTACGACGAATTCGGAACAATGATGCCGCCCGGCGATCACGTCAAGCACGTCGTGTGAAAGAAGCAAAAAATCGTACTCGTCTGGCTGCTCTCGAACAGGAGAACGATGCATTACGGACGCAAATTGGCATATTGAAAAAAGAATTGGAACACGTACATTTAGTTATTTTAGCAACAAATGTAACATGGAAAAGATTACTGCAAGATCAATTTTAGATAAAAATAACAGTAACATCGTGTACTTCATTAATTTTTTTTTTATATAGCAAAATATAATTTAATAGGTAATATTTAAATTTCGTTACAGTGATTTCGAATTACATTATCGGAACATTAAATGAATCATTAAGGTAGCGATACATAATGTAAATATTGAAAATAATTCAATTCTATTTTAATAGGTCAAGGTTCATTTCCCTTACAAACCATATATTATGTGGATTATGCCATCAAATTGAAAGTATAGTATGCAAATAATAAATCGTCGTACTTTCTGATTGCGTATTTATTTAATCATGTCATATTCTTTCAAATTTTCCTATATTCTTTGTTATATAACATTGAATGATTATTTGATTTTTTTTTTTCAAATTTTCAAAATAAAAATATGAAAAATTTAGTTTCGGAATTTTTTTTTTTGTTAAAAGAATTTATGTCAGAAACACAACAGTAAGAAGAATTATTGAAAGCAAGAAAAAAAAACACTCAATTTTATTTTTCATTTTTTTTTTTTGCAAAATTTTTTTTTGTTTGAAAAAATATGTATTGTTAAAGATTTCTTTCACTTAGCACAATGAAAAAAAAAAAAACGTAATTTGTACTACAATTGTCACTTTTTTTAGTAAATTCAAGTATTTTCAATTAGAGTATTAGTTATTAAGTAATTCGTTAATGCTGCACAATTTGCATATTTGTGTGATATTTATATATAATGAATGGATTGATTTAACATGAATTATTTCATTGTTCCTTTGACTTTTAATGTTTACTTATAAAGAAGAAAAAAAATCACACCATATGTATGAAAGTTTTGAATTTCTAAATGTGAATCATTCCGTAATACATTTATGCCCTGCTGATTAGTGCAAAAAGAAATTGCTCAAATTTGCAATAAATTTAAATTAAAATTGCTTATATTATTCGATTCATTTTTTTTCTTTTAATATTTACAAAATTCATAAGATATTGCAGTTAATTTTTTCATACACTTGCTTGCAAGAAATAATTCAATAGTTTTTTTTTTGATGTTTTAGTCTTTTAATTTTAAATTTATCAAAATTTGAACAATGTTGAGGTATATTTTATCGAATATATTATTCAATTCAGGTATTTATTTTGTTATCTTCATTTTCCATGTTTTATTTTGTTTATTCATACATAATTTAAACCAATTTTGAATAAAATTGGTTTAAACATTTAAAATTTAGATAATAATTTGAATGATTGATAATTCGATTAGGTTATAAACAATTTGATTCATAATAAAAATACGAATGACCGGTAGCACTGTTGTTGCATCGGTCATCCCAATGTCATGGTATTTTATCGTCGGACATTGTTGCACAATATCATACCAACTGTAGACATTCCTACATACACAGACAGACAGACAGACAGATACACACACACACACACACATACACACGTTCAGATTGTTGCATAATCAATCTTTATGAACTGCACGTATGAATAATCGATATTCAAAGAAAGAAAGGGAAGAAAAGAAAAAAAAAATTTTTAGATAAAAATACAGCTAAATATCATTTACTTACTGCTCATTGATCTTTAATATTTCCAATCAATAAATTTATATGCAATTTATAAAATTCATTTGCTATCTTTGCTTTTCTTTTGCACTTTTTTTTTTTTGTTGAATTTGCAGTTTCCTTTTTTTTTTCTTTTTTTCAATAATTCATTAGATGCTTTTTAATTGTTTTTCAAACTTTTTCTCAACTAATTTACATGTAAAATGTGAAAAAATTTTTGTGCAATAATTTAATTTCCATTATTTTATTGCAATCAATTTTGTCAAATAATTGCTTTCATAAATTTTTTATTACCCAAATGAAATTGCTAAATTTATGGATTGATTCAATGAATGAATTGAAATGGGGGTTAAAGATCAAATTGTATGAAATACCGTAACAGTTCGTTTTTTTTTTTAATTATTCTTAAATGATACAAAGCATTCGTTTTCCTTACAGAAGCATACACATTTCATGCTAAGCTATTTATAAAAGAAGTGGATGGATTTGTTTTTTTTCGGTTCTTTAGATCTATTAAATGCTAATCGTAAATATTAAGTTTAAAGCCATAAAAGCAATACCTTTTACGAAAAATACTCTCGAAAAAGTGAATTGCATTAAAAAAAATTTAGGCTTAAGACTTTTAAAAACTTCCGTAAAATCAATAACTTCACATTTTTTGCCCTGTTTTTTACTACTTTCAAAAATTAATTTTGAATATTGCTTTTTTTGAAAAGTAAAAATTAGTAGTAGATAAAATTTATCAGAGTTTCAATTTTTTTTCTTTTATCAGGGCGCTTCTTTCTGTAATTTTTTTAGCGAGAATAATCAGTTATCAAATTTTTTAACTTTTGCAATAAAATAATTAATGTTTCAAACATTTCCTCATTCTGTCATTGATATTAAAATTTCAATTTTTTTTCCATCGAAAGAGAGCAATGTCTGCAACTTTTAAATTTAAAAAAGCAGTAAACGATTGAATTATCAAATTTTTATTTACTACATATTGCAGATATTTGTGTTATTTTTAAAAAAACAAAAATTAAACAACTAATATACTGCAACATTAGTATTGTAAAAAATTATCTGGCTGACAATATTTACTAAGTAATTCTTGCATGCTAATTTTATAGGAAATTTTGATGAGAGAAATTAAATTCAAAAAAAAAAAACAAAGAATAAAACAAATTGTGCACAAAAATTGATTCAAATAAAACTTCATTTAAAAGAACGAAAAAAAAAGCGAGGTTGATAAATGGATGCTAATTATTCTTTTAACTTATCTATTTAAGCTAAAAGAATCCAAGCAGCAAGAAAAAGTAAAAATTACGAAATCCAAGCAGTAAAGCTGGAAATTTTAACAACTGAAGGGCGAATGATATTGAAAATTTATCGAATTTTCGAATGCTTCTCCTATCCATCACAAAATGCCCTTCCTCATTTCGACTTCTTCCGCTTTCATCCCTTTCTTCTCCTTTTTGGCCTTTACTCCCATTTCTTACTTTACTGTTTATTCATTTTTAAATAATTTCATTTGAAATTATTCTCTACATACCTGTTATGTTTGGATTTCTTTTGAATACAAGTAAATATTGATGTTTTTGCAATGAGTAATCTATGTTAATTTGCAAAATTACAGTAATTATCAGGTAAAATAACAAAATGAATAAAATGAAATTAAATAAATTGCTTAAAAATTTCCATAACTAGACTTTTTCATGAGCTAAAAAAAAAAAAAAACGAAATACAACTAAAATTAGGACATATTTTTACAAGATGATGCGACAGTAAAATGTAATCTTTTGATGAATCGTTTTTTTTTTTCGTAATACAAATAAAAAATGAGTAGAATTAAAAATATATCATTAACTTTATGAGTTAAATTATTATTGATGATAGTTCTACAAATTCTAAAATTAGCAATTTTTTTACCAACGATAATGGTAGGAAGGGAGTAATAGAATAAATTGAAAACTAATGAAAACTAAATTAGATGATCAAATATATATA